CTATGCATATGAAGATTACTAGTTTTTACAACTAATTTCCCTACTCTCGAGATTGAAATATGAGAAATTGTAAGTTTCTTTCATGTAATTTAGGATATAGGCCAATGATAAAAGGAAAATTTAGCCATTTTATTAATTGTAAGATCTGTTTTTTTTTTACCATTAATTATAATATAATGCATAAAAGATGTCGTAACTTATAACAAAGTAGTGAGATTGATGTGGTGGCTGAGACAAACTTAATCTTCACCACAAACATAGAATTGATTATATTGAGGATATTATTGACTTGTGTATTTGGTCAACATGATTGTGCTCGTCATAATAACTTTGAAGATATCTGTAATATGATCATGGAGGCTAGACGAGTTAAGAGGATCTTGAGAAGAAGAATACAGAAGATTGATTTGATCGTTTTGGTTGGCTTGGCCCGCTTTGTTGGTTTGATCGTTAGGTTCATTATTGTGGTTGGTCTGGTCATTTTGATTTTAGGAGTTCATTCTCGACCGATACTATAAGATCATGAGTAATTCACGTTCACCGCACCAATTATTGTTGGGGGGAAATTAATTTCGTTGGTCGTTGATGGTTCACCTCTTTTCATTTAGGTGAAGACCCACAATCAGTGAGAGAACAATCGTTGTCTGATGTTTTTATGGTGAGAGAGGAATATAGCTTAAAAGAGAAGACAAATGGTGTAGATGAGGTCTAAAAGAGATAAGGGATCTCGCCTCTAGTCTTTCCTCAAGTTATGAATATCCATGTTACAAGGCAATTTGTATCATACCTATGATGACGATAGCTACCAAATTTGTTTCTAATAAATTATGTGGGATCGTCAGAGGCCCAATAACGGGACTATTGCCATTGCAAGCTTATTCCTATATTGAAGAGAGTCTAAATTGGCTCGACTGGTTTGTGAACAGAAATGTATATGTTTCGTGCTGTGTGCGCTCCAGATTTGACAAACTCCTACCTTCACTTTTCCTACATTTTGACAATAAGCTTTTGAACCCTACCGCCCAACAAACTCTTGCATTCAACGATGAGACACTTTTCTGGGTTAAATCCACATTATACCCTTCAAGTTTTCCATTCTTCTCACCCTTTTCCCATAGATAAAAATTCAGTCGGTTTGATCCTTGTAGTTGTAAAACTTTGTCACAGTTAATCCACTGTCCACCATTGATTGAAAAATGAATGAACCAATTAGAATATTTTTTTTGTTCTATTTTTAATTAAATTTACGTGGCGTAAAATTTGGAGTCACACAATAAAAAAATAATATTAGAAATACTATTTATTTTAAATTATTTTTTAAGTTGATATTTTTTATGTCACGTAGAACATAGATTTTTTTTTACAGATAGCGTATTTAAAAGAGTTTTTTTTTACAATAAACACTTTTTAATAATATGACGGTAATATGAATACAAATTGAACTAAAAAAATAAAGGGAAACAAAGCCTACATAACACAAAAGAATGGTAATCCATAAAATAATTTAAAATATATATTATTTTTGGTATTATTTTTGTACTGGAAGACGTTTAAATAAAAACATTACTTTTAAGAATTTTTTAAATTAATTTTTTTATATTTAATATTTTTCAAATATTTTTTAGATGATTAAATATTTAATTAATTCTATTGTTAGGGTAATTTTATTGTGCAACCGTCTAATTTAAGGTTAATTTACGACGGTTTTTAACATAAAATATTATTCTATTCAACCTAAAAATTTATATAAATTTGTAAATTTTCGATTGTAATCGAAAAGTTACATTACCGGGAGTTTAGATATTACAACCAAAAATATTATGAAAGAATTTGATATTTTCGGTTGCAATATAAAATGTTACTATGTTCAACCTATAAAATTACTCTCTTAATAAAATTTTTGGTTACAATCGTTTTTTTTACCTTTTTTAGTCTTATATTAACAAGTTGTATTTTAGAATTTATGTTATTATTATAGTAGAAATTCATACATTATATCCAAGTCGAGGAAGAAAAAATGGCTAAAATGATCGACAAAAACATTAATATATATTAGAGTAATTAAATTAAGAGTAAATTATACGTTTAATAATTTAATTGTCACTATTGTTTTATTTTGCTCATTCAATTATTATTATTTTTTTCAAAATTATACATAATGTTACGTTTTGATTTTATTTTGGTCATCTCTCATTAAAAAAACTGCTAATAGGATTTTTTTTTTCCAATCATGGTGTGGCATTCTCTTTTGATGACATGTTAGCATCAACATTACTTAACACAATATTATTTTTTACAATGATGACGTGGTATTTTCTTATGATGATCAAAATAAAACTAAAAAGTAATGCTATGCATAATTTTAAAACAAAAAATATTTGAATGATCAAAACGAAACAAAAGTGATAGTTAAGGTATTAAATATATAGTTTATCCTTAAATTAATGGTCGGAAATATGGGAGAATTCTTTAAAGTTTTATGTATGCTTTTATGGGCGGAATACATATATTCGGGCTAGTGTAGCATTACTTTTGTGAAGTGTGGTTGAAAAGTAATTTTAAAAAGGTTTTTGAAAATTAATTTTAGATTATTTAGTAGTGTTTAGTATTATTTTAAAAAAACATTTTTAAAAAATATAGATGATCATTTTAGATATTATGTTATAAGTTCAAAATATATATTTAAACAATTTTTAATATTTTTAATATTATAATATATATACAATTTATCAACTTAAATTTTGATAATATATAAAATATTATTAATAATAAATAAATAATTTTTAATAAGTATACATATTCTATAAAAGTATATAAAATTTAAAATAATTTTATATAAAAAATTGACATAAAAAATATAAAATTTTAATCTATAAATAATTTCTTATAATCATGTCTTGATAAAAAAAATTAAGTTTATGAATTCTAAAATAAACGCCATCATATGATATAATAAAGAAAGGTTGAAATTATAATTTGACTTCGAAAGCGCTTTCCTAAACATAAAAACAAAAAAATTCAACTTTTACGTTTTAATTGAAAAACGCTTTTCAAATACATTTTCAGAACCTATTTATCATTACTTGTAGCTCTAAAAGTGGTTTTGGCGTCAAAATTGGTTTTGAAAAACAATGGTGAACGGAAAGCTCATAATGAGAACGCTCATTCTTGTCGACAGTCTCTCAATTCATTTTCCAACTTCAATCCCTTTCCGATGACGTTTGGCATTATGAAAGCCATCTTTATTACCTCAATTCTTTTGCAAATATACCACTCGCATTTTCTTTTCTTTTCCTTTCCCTTTTCACATCCTCTCATTATATGATAATGTTTTTTTAATACATCGACTATTAAAAATTATAAAATAGTATCAAATTATTCATATATATTATGAATTCATCTTTTCCATTATATATTTATATTAATTGTTGACAAATATGATCACATTTATTAACATTATTTTATATGTGACAATGAGTCCAATTAACTATGCATTTATCAAAGTCTCGTCAATTAAGTATTTTCATCCTGCTCATTTAACCTTGATTTAAAATCTATCAAGTAGTCTTAATAATTGAAATGAATATTGTTCTTTTTAAAAATTCGATACTCAAGCACGACATTTACAAGGTATATAAGCGTTTATCCTCAATTATTCGAAAATATATCGAACATTTATTATATCACCTCTTGCTAATAAAAAATCTTAATTTATTTTCATGTTATTAAACTGTATTCTCTCTACTTAATTTTATATAGCAATAATGATGTATCAATGTTGCTCGCACTACTGAGTAAGATCCATTGCAGAAAACCAAAAAAAAACATTTATTAAATAAATTTTATAAATTAAGTATTGAATTATCGAATACGAGGTTGATAAAAATTATATAATTTTTTATCACTTCACGTATGATCACTGATTAAATAAATTATATAAATATATATTTTACAAAAAATATACCTTATTTCACTCACACCCGTGGATACAGGGTAAATTACATATTTGGTAACTAACAGTTTCGCTCGAAAAAATATTACGTTAGTAATATGGGTTGATCGTTAGTTAACTAATAGTTTCATCTAACAGAGTCTGTTTTAATAAAAATTGAAAGGTTAGAAAGTAAAATATTCTAATAAAAGAATAAGAAGTAAAATGTTTATTTATGCAAACATCGGAGGATATTATGTCTTAATCAAAATATTATCATCAATACAATAAGAATAAACTCTCGTTGTTTAATTAAATATACAAAAAACCTCCTATCGTACCATCAAATGTTTCATATATGCTTACCAAAAGGATCAAAAGTTTCCAAATTTCAACAGTTCAACACTGAGATACTTCCTTCAAGTTTTGAAGGATCAAAATTGAATTAGAAAAATTTTAGAGGGTCGAATAAACCTTTTACCATTAAATTAATCTAAAACTTTAATATTTGTAGAGGGACTAAAAAACAATATACCCTTTTTTTCTGCAAGGCTGCACCGCAATATATTTTTACAGCTCGCGGAGGAATTTTTTTAATTTTAATCCATTTAAATTTTTATTTCAATTTAATCAAATTATGGACAAACAAAAAGGTTTATTTTGACAGTTTCTAACACAAAGTCATAAATTTGAGCTGCGTTTCAGCACTAGGAAGTAACATAAATAGTTGTGTATCTCAACCACAACCAGCTCAAACTTATAAACACTTGAACAGCTCAAATTTCCCATTTTTTTAAAAAACACTTGCAGATTTTCCATTCCACCTGATATGTATTATCATTATTCTTGAATCCTCATTGTTTTCTTCTTCTTCCTCTTCTTTGTTCTCTTTTGTTTTCTGTTTCCTGTTCGATTGTGAAAAGTTGACGATTATCAACTGATGATGATCCTGTAATGGAGGAAAGGGAGAGGCGGTGAAGACAATGAAACCCAGAATGCCTAAACACTGACAGTCAAGACTGATCGTTTATACATAGGCCAAAAAGCCATTACTTTTAGTTTCTTTTTCTCTGTTTTTGTGTTATTGTTCGTTCTCATGAAACTCATTTTCTCTTCTTTCCACTCTCTTCATTCTCCGCTCTTTCCACTGAACCGCCGTCCACGGTGGGCTTGCATGGAGTCCTCACCTGCTCCCCACCATCACTCCAATCTGAACAAGACCAAACTAATCGTCATCATGGGTGCCACCGGCACCGGGAAGAGCCGTCTCTCCATCGACTTATCCAATCACTTCCTTCACTCTCAAATCATAAACTCCGACAAAATGCAACTTTACAACGGCCTCGACATAACCACGAACAAAATCCCTCTCCAAGAAAGGAAAGGGGTCCCCCACTTCCTTCTCGGCTACGTTGACTCCGTTGAATCCGACGTATCGCCGTCGCAGTTCCGTTCGGAGGCGGGTTCAACCATTGCCAACATCGCTTCGAGTGGAAACTTGCCTCTCCTCGTCGGTGGCTCCAACTCTTTCATCCATGCCGTCCTCGTGGAAACCTTTGACCCTCGAGTGGAGGACATATTCGCCGCGCCAGACTCAGTGAGCCAGCTGTTGAGATACGACTGTTTTTTCCTTTGGGTTGACGTGGCCTGGTCGGTACTCTCCGACTATCTGTGTGAACGAGTCGACGACATGTTGGACTCGGGCATGCTGGAGGAGCTGGCTCGGTTCTACGACCCCACAAAAGAGGGTATCCGAGTCGGGTTAAGGAAGGCAATCGGAGTACCCGAATTGGACAAATATTTTAAAAAGTACCCGCCGTGGGAGAGCAAAGGATGTAATCAGGCGCGGAGGGACGCATACGAGGAAGCGGTGAGGGAGATCAAAGACAACACGTGTCGGTTGGCGAAGCGACAGATGGAGAAGATCGAACGGCTTAGAAAAGCGGGGTGGGAGCTAAAGAGATTAGACGGAACGGCGACGTTTGAAGCGATAGTGAAAAAGAATGAGTGGAGGGGTATTTGGGAAAAGGAAGTAGTGGAGCCAAGCAAGAAGGCCACGAAGCGGTTCTTGGAGTAGCTTGTTGCTCCAGCTAATTTATTCTTCGTTCATAATACAGTTATTTAGAATGATTTTTTATTTTAATGATTTAAGTTCAACAATATATTTTTAATATACACATATGTAATTAATGTTCACCGATGGACGACCAATTTTGAAGGAGAAGAGTCTTTGAGATCTAGCTATCTATACAAATTATGAGAAATAAAAGCTTCCTGGTAAATATTTTGTTGTTGTTCTTGTTTTCATCCGTAAGATAAAATTACGAAATGTCTTCAAAAAGATGCATAACGAATAGAATTAAAATAAATTTGATATAAAATATGGATCAAATATTTATCATATCAAATCACTAAGAATAAAATATTAGATAAAACCTAGGTTTCCACTTCGAATGATTTCAAATTAACTTCCAATAAAATTTTGTTAATAAATAATTAATCAACTGAAACCTTAACAACAAAACATTGATTATTGATCAGAGTTGGATGCTTCCGTGGTCAGCCGTCATCCAAATCGAATTGCCTAAATAACTTATGGTATGATAAATTGTGGAACATATGTTCCATCACATGCCACATTTATTGGTATTTACATTAACTTCGGTTTACCAAACCTAATTTCCTAAAGCCACCGTATACCAACCTTCGTCTTCGTGCTCCATTTGGTCTCACCCGGAAATGGGATCACAAATTAAGAAAGCAATTTGACATCCAAAATAGATTTATTGACTAAAACAGATAGTTATATTGATTGCTTATAATTTGTCTCTTCTAATTTAAATAAAAAGTTTTAATCATCGATTAAACGATGATAAAAAATCAAAGATAATATAAAAGGAAAGTGTAAAAATGAAGACATGAAAAAAAATCCCTTTTTGTCATAAGAGTTTATATATTATCATTTAGTGTTAGTGTTAGATGTTGGACAATAATAGATATCCGTGATTGGTAGGGTGAATATATTAGATTGTCATTAGATCATGTGAATCTACAGGTGATTAGGTCATATTGTAATAACTAATTAGAGGATATGAAATTCTGGAGACTTCGAAAGTATAACTTAATTCGACATATGAAGAAGGTACAATAAGGTTAATTATCCATTCATACATGAGTATATCAATTCTAAGTTTTATACATAACGTTTAAAAATTTTCGATTTCATACATAACGTTTTTTACCGTTATCGGGTTCACCCGTTTTCTCACGGAAAGTAACGTGGAACCCTGTGGCCACCAACAAAATGTCACGTGGCACTTTAATCTTTTAAAAATATTTTTTTTAAAAAAAACCTTTCACATTCAACATTCACCGCTGCTTATTGTCATTCAACCGTCTCCAATCGTTCGTGGTATGCACCGTCGCCATTGTTTGCATCGTCGTCATCCCGCAGTTGAACCCCGATCGTCGGTTACCTTTTTTCGTTTGTCATTCGTCAGAAATCTATGAGAGATCGTTCAAGTTCCTTGTCGTCGATCTCTGTCGCCGTTGATCAGTGATCGTCACCGCCATCATCATAATGAGTGTCTTGTCACCGCAACCAAAATTTCATCGACTGTTTGTTGTGAATCACTGCCGATATCCGTGGAAGACGTTTCGAAGGTTCGTTGGAAATAAGTTCTTTGCCACTATTTGTTTGTCGTTTTGATTGATCCCAACATCCGTGAACCTCACAGCCGCCACCACTAAAATCCTCAGGCTATTTCGATCAAAACCCAGTTCGTCTCCTCGCCGTCATTGCCCTCTCTAGTTGTAGTCACTGGCCTCATTGAGATCTTGCACAAGTTAGGGGGAAATTGGAAAATAGGGGGAAAGTTTTATTTTAAAAAACTTTTTTTAAGATTAAAAAATATTTTTTTAAAGTACCACGTCATCTTCCGTGGCGGAAATAGGTAAACACGACAGCGGCATAAAACACTATGTATGAAATTGAGAATTTTTAAACATCAGATATGAAATAGAGAATTTGGTATACTTCATGTATAAATAGGTAATTAACCCTAAGTAATAAGACTGTATCTGTATGCATCGTCCCTGTCCGCACGTAATTATCTGTAAGTCTGTAACTTTGATTGCAGTCATTATCCGAGAACTCCCACTTTAACCCTAAACTCAGCAAAGCCACCATCAACACCGGTTCCAATCACTTTCAATTTCTGGTTCCCACATTGTTCAAAAAGGAAAGTCAAAATGGAAACAGATCATAGCACAGGTCCAAGTTAGGAGTTTACTGGGTGGTGAAGATGGAAATGAATTCCAAACTCGGTGCAGAGAATAGTACTTGAGGTCACCCACCCACCGCATTAACCTTTTTTTCTTTTTTTTTTTGTGAGAAGTGCTCACTGTGATTAGATAAAAGGAAGTTGTCAAATTTATCTTTTGGCCTAACAAGAAACAAAGGTGAGTTTAGGGACAGATTCAATGGGTTCGTGTTTCCCTTCAACGACAATCAGGAAAATAAGTATGTTTTGGTGGTGAATTGGGCGACAATGGGCATGGGATATTTCCCTGTGAAGCCCATTGCTTTCTGCTGCTACAAATGCCAACTATGTCTGTAGGAATTCTTTTTCGTGAGTAGTATTATCATTATTATCATGTTCATATTCAACTAAAATAGGAAGCAATTCCAGCGAACGAATCATGTTGTAATAAATGCTTTATAAATGTTGCAAATTGAGCTATTCCATACACTTAAAACTCACTTCCAACTTGCCTGGTCCATGTGCAATGCGAAATGCGAAAGACTTAAATCTAAACTCACGTACTCGTCCAGACTATGTTACTCGAATTTAGGTCATCAAGAAAATAATAAATTTCTTTTAACTATTTGTACCACTCAAAGGATCATCACTAGTTAAGTTCTTCTTCATGTCTCAATTCTATTAAAATTAAAAGATTTTCGTAAAATTATCGAAGTTTAAATCCCATTTGCTAAAAAGAATTATCAAAATTTAAATCTCACTTGCTGAAAAGGAAAAACAATTGACGTAAACATTTTAATAAAGATAAAATTTAAATCTCACTTGCATATCAAAATCTCTGAAGAATCCCTTCATAATTAAAATTTCAGGAGAACATTCCATACTTAAAACCTCTATATCTCTCGAGAAATTACACTCATTTGATATGATTTTTAGTAGACACCATGTGATCCACGAAAGCCAAAATCAATTGACAACTGATCACATCGATCAGGCTTACCAACTTAAGAGTAGGCATAATAATTTTATGTCTGACACTCGCACTAAAGGTCAATATAAAACATCTCTTTCAAGACTAAGAGAGGGGCCAACATCCACATCTCCCCTTTTTACCATCTTCTTTCAATAGAAAATAGAGGATCTCGAGACTGTTCAACTTTCGTCTTATCATTGATTGGACTCTTCACCCAAATTAAAAGAAGTGAACCATTAACGATCAACGTAATCATCTTGTTCCCATCAACAAATTTTAAAAATTACGTTTAAATTTTATTACCCGTATACTTCTATTTAGTTATCAAACTTTTAAAAAAATCAAAAGTTAAGTCTTTAATATTGTTTAAATTCTTTTTGTTAAATTTATGCAGGAAAACCCTGAAACTTTCCTCTCAAATTCACATTTTTTTACTCTTTTTTATTTACTCACATCGAATTATTTTCTTTTAAATATAAACAACAGAGAAGTCGAGAAAGTTGTTATATGAGAATTAAAATAAAACCAAGATAAGGTCAAAGTCTTTATTTGAGTTTTGTCAAATTAAAAAAAAAAACTAAGAAGAATAAAAAGGAAAAAAAGGAACGTTCTCGTATCAATTACATCGTAAACGGTGGCTGAAGATAGTCGAATAATGGTAGAGAAAGACGACAATACCGAGAAAAAGAAAAGATTAAAAGTTTAGGTCAATTTCAGATATAAAAACCTCCCAAACACAATATTTTAGTGTTGGCATTAAGAACTTACAGTCAACTGATTAAAAAAAAAGTAAAACTTGAAAATTTAGAGACAATTTAAAAACTGAAAAGTTAAATGACTAAGATAGAAATACACAAAAAGTTGGATGACTAAAAAATGTAGTTTATCCGAAGTATAAATAGAGTTGTATGTTTTCATTTATTTGTGTTGAGAATGGTTGGTACAGCCCAAAAAGCTTAATTTGTTAAGCAAATTGAAGCCCCCCGTGTTACTAAGAATCCAATATATAATTCAAAGCCTAAAGTGCCTTTAAGATCCAAAAAATGGTGGACCTCAAATCCGCTTAATAAAAGAAAAGTGGTTGTGTTATAAGGTGCATTTGTGTTGTTAATGATTAAGAAATATTTTGAACATATATTACCTTTATAATCACCCCATAATACTAAAAAATGGTTTAAGTGTCACTTTTGCCCTTGTAGTAGACCCGATTTATCATTTTTTCCCCTATCGTATTTTCGCATCCATTTAGCAATCAAATTTGTTTAATTGCATCATTTTATACTCTGTCCCTAACTTTTTTTTTTGAAAAAGGGTACCTCGTATTAAGAGATTACAAAGTACACCATCTCAAGGACCTCATTAAAAAACCTCCTTAAACCTAGTTGGAGGAAAAAGAGTGTACCTTGAGGTGGAACCTGAATACAATATGATAAAACATAATGCTAAAAGCCAAAGTGCGTACCACACCTAATTCCTATAACCTGCACCAAAGCATAAATCCAGTATCCACACTACAACATATGATCAGGCAAAACAAAACAATAACAGCAGATTTCCTAAACTAAGAAAATCTGAAGAAAACAACGCACAACAAAACAACATAAGCCATCAAACGAGAGCGATAGAGTCCGAGCTACGAACAAAATCTTGCACATAAGGAATCAAGGTAGGCCAAAAAATATTCGTCCAAACCCCTACCTGAAATAAAACTTTAGTAAAAATCTGATCCACTGAGAACGAGACACCGTTAAACCGGGATTTATTTCTGCATAACCATATAACCCAAATCAAGCCAAAAAAATCCAAGATGCCATAATGATCGAACACGTTTCCTAATTCTTT